GCTATATGCTAATATGCGACAAGAAAATCGGAAATACACGAATTACCATTGCGAAAACCAAAAGAAGAAAAGCCACCAATTTTTATCGATGTTTCAGACAATAGCTTTATATTTTATATTATAAAGGAAATGATATTTTTAAATATTTTATGTACGACTGAATTAACTCGTTAAATCTTTTAATGACATCGTTTCGTTTTTTTTTCTTTTAAGTTACATCATGATTAAAAAATGCGGATAAAAATGAGTTACGTGCTACGACACACGATGAGGTTTCAAGCGACTACGTTAGATGGCACGATTGTTATCGATCTAGCTTCTCGCTACTCTCTACAAATTCGTCTCTTTACATTTCGTAGTAGAAAAGCTGCTACTTTTACAATAATAATGTTATCAATTAATAAAATGTCAAGTAATTTAGACATATGGAAAAAGCATTTACGGAGTTTTTTTTTACAGACAGTACACACTAATTCGCTCAATTATTGCTACATCGTGACGTCTACTTCGCTGATTTCATTCTCGATCACGAGTAACATGTTCCTCATTGATAATCAAGCAAGCTAATCGATACGTCACGCGAATAACTGGTGAGTGAATTACGCGATCGTTGTTATCTATGAAAAATCGCTTACGTAAGGCTTCGGGCAGCTCCGAACGACAAAAGTTCGTGGTCACGTTCCCTGAGACCTATCATTATCAACAACAAACTATGGTCACGTAAAAATGATCGATGTTAGTACATATCCGCGTTTAAAGGTTTCCTCTGTATTCCCGAACGATCATCAGTTACACATTACCATTCTGTCGCAGGAAAACGAAGAGTTTCATCATAACGTTTTTCATTGTATCGCTCGCCGTTCATGCCAATTATCGCGTCAATCTACCTTCGCGTCATGGAATTTTTTCCTCGTGTCTTGTGGAGTACCTATTACAGCGTCAACTTTATATTTCGAGTATTCGTTTCCAAACAGGCTCTTTCAATCAAGAAATACGTCATGTATCGCAATTTGAGGAAACAGGGCGTGTAAACGTCTGGTAGAGATAGGAGAGAGCGAAAAGTTTTAATACGACCGCGGAATCGGCGAGAGTCAATTCGTCCTTGCCGGTTAACGAACCCTAAACCAGAAGGGAAATACACTTTTTCAGAACGCGTCGCCGTAATTGAGCGAAGAGAAGAGGGCAAAACAGGGGTGAATGAGTGTAATTACGAGCGGGCGAGCCGATTCGAGCGGCTTTCGAATGAGAAAACCGGACGGTGACGGTGGCGACGACCAACCACCGTAACTTTGTAAACCTGTTTAACGTTCGAAGGAACATCCTGGAAATACCAAACCGCTCTTAACCAAAATGTTAACCACGGCGCAATTAACAGAACGCATTTCCTCGCACGTTTAATTAGAACTTTTCAACCTAAAAGGATACGTTCAAAAATATCCAACGTCGCACATAGTATCTCCAATCGTAGCTACGAAAAGCGAAACTTAATCCTAGGTACAAACCACGTTGACTTGGTGGTCATTCAGAACCGATACACTTGCGATCGAGGCAATGTCTGTCGTGGACGATCAACGATATCGAAAGACAATCGAAGCGTTTAAATTAAAATAATAATTGTATTTGTAGAATGCACGGTAATTTTAATGACCCAATAAATTTATATATAAATAAGGTGTATATTACGTAAACTGTCGGCTATAAGTATCAGAACTTTATATTTATTGGAAAGCTGAAATTTTACTTTGCTTGATACTTTACATTACGAAGCACAAGCGATGCGAATGAAACAACAAATTCATAAAATAAGTAGAATATAAAGCAGTAAAAAGCATTGGATTTGTACTAAATATCTACAGATGTTCCAATACTTATGATTGACAGTGTACATAGATAAATACAATAGAACTTCGTTCATATGAACCTGTCAGGGGACAAGTTGGTTCGTATGAGTTTTTCTCATATAATAAGAGTTCGTCTGTTTCTTTCCACCACCTATAATTTTTCGTTTAGTTAATAGAAGTTCGGTTCTTATTTAGTTCAGTATTCGTATAAGAGGATTCCACGAAATATTTGCTCTTAAATACATAATAATGTTGCGAAGTTGTATCGACTGCGAAGCATAAGAGTGTGTCGCACAACGACGTGTCCCACACCTTACATCTTATTGTTAGATGTTCCTATAAGTGGATTAACGCTCGGCGGTGGTTCAGATAAGGAGTTGAGCTAAAGTTCATATAACCAGACGCCATTAAAATTTCATCCGTAGAAATGAATTTCGCATAAACGAAGTTCCACTGTATTACAATTACGTGATGAGGGAATACGCAACAGAATTCTACAGAAAAAAAATATAAAATTTGCATATCGATGTTAACACGTTGAGATAACAAGATCGATCGGTAAATACCATGTAGGTTATATTCGAAGAGATAACAGAAAGCATATAGAAGATGCTTATGAAAGCAAAAGACACAAACGAGGTGCTCCAATCTGCTCACCTGTACTCCAAGTAAGAAGTAACAAGGGATTCCAAGCGCGTCCCGTATCAAGAAATTAGGGGAAGCATAGAGGATAGATAACATAGCGTGAACAAGTCGGTTTTATTGCTTCCAACGGGAAACATCCGGCGCCAGGATCATGGAAGTATTACAATAAACGAGACACGTCTCTCGAGTAGAAATACGCGAAATATTGCACGCGCTAAGGACGCTCGAGAGTATCGAAATAACGTTGCTGTTGACAAAAGGAGAGAGAGAAGGGAGAGAAAGAAGGAGGGAGAGAGAAGCACGACGATAATGTGGCGGTAGAAAAGAGAATGCGGAAACAGAGCAGAAAACAAGAAAAACGGATCAGAAAACTGCGAGGTCATTAAACCTAGGATTAAGTTGGCGCTCAAAAGCCTGACACTTAAGGTTTCCTTTGCTCATTTCGAAATTCGAAGAACTTTGTTTCCTCGTCTGCTACAAGCGTTCTTTCGTATTCGTAGAAATCTTGAATAACGGATGTAAAGTTGGATAGAAAAAATCGATGAAATCGTCGCTCTCTTCCGAAAGCCGATCAAACAAAACGATTTGACTTTATATTCACGCTTTTATCCTTTCGTCGACAGCGTTATTCGCAACAGCTCTTCCTATCGTTTTCCACGTGTGCGATTTTTCCCGACAAATTAATTTTTTACTGTGATTTTAATTCCGCACGAAGGATGTTGAACGAACGTTACTTTCCTCGACGGAAAATTCAAACAATCATCGTTAGAGAATGTATCAAGATTGACGTAGTACTGGAGGAAGGAAAAGCGAGAGAAGCCGACAAAGCTCGAACGAAGAAAAGTTGCAGCCGTCGAGTGGGCCAGAACAAAAGGTCTGCATCGGTTGCTTTTACCTCTTGTGAACGTGAAAACGTAACGAGCCACTTGGCCACGTTGCATATTCCATCGCCTGGATATCCGGACCCGTTGTTACGTAAAATCTGGTCGCAGTTCCCTTAATTAAAAGCGGCTCAATTGTCGTTTCCGACCGGCTTATTTATCAACTTTAACCTGTGTTGGCCTTAAAAGATCCAATCTGTCCTGAGATCCTTTACAGATACTCTACTTCAAAATCGTTGTTCATTTGGTTACACGAAGATGAAGTTTTCCAAGGGAATGGAGAGGAGAGGATGGTTTCAGTGGAGAACGGTGGTTTCTTCATTTTCCTCGATCCGAAGAGACGACCTCGCGACTCAAGAAGGAGGAAAACGACAGGAAACGCTGACTAATTTCCTCATTATCTCGGTGAACGGCAAATTTCAGATTTATTAACGGTGCTTGAGCAATAGACTGTGCGAATCGAGGCGGACCAGCGCGGAATCGGTCACGGAAATAATGATTTAATGTGGCTAATCTAAATCCTAATCCATTCGCAAGACCTAATTTTCTTTAGTGGAATAGCCTTCCCCAACCTTATGTTTCTTGCGTAAGTTAACCGGTTAACCGCGTTCAACGTGTATACGCGTCAATGCAAAACTTTATTTCGGCGCGGTTGTATATACTCGTCGTGTGCAATAAAAAATTACCATTTATTAGGAAAACTCAAAATTTTAGTAAAAAGTAATATAAATGACGTTTAGTGGTATGTTTCCTTTATACTTCCAGTAAACCTATTATGTATTTTATAAAAGAAAAATTCGATTATTTGATTATTCTCTTTGGTACGTATATCGGCTAATTCCCGAATTATTTTGTGCTTTATACCAACTGCAACATTGAAAGCAAATCCACTTCGAGGATATGCCGTCTGCTGGAAAAATGAAATCCGTACGGAGTGACGTTACTGACGCTCGACCTACGAACTGCCACTTTGTACGATACCTTGATTTGAAAAATACCACGCTGAAATCAACTGAATTTCTTAAATCTATTTTCTTCAATTTTTCTTGTTTATAAATTTTATTACTTTCTGGCAATTTTTAAGTTTTCAGCAACCACAGCTTTTTCAACAACGAATTGTTAATTTCTTATCGAATAAGAATGTAATGCTTCCCCGTTTTGCTTTACTTTTTTCATAAAATTTATAATAGGAACATTTGCCGTACGTTCGACGTGTATACTCGTCATTATTTCGTTTCACTTGCGTATCCCGCGACGGATTTTCGAAACTAAATTCCGCAGTTAACAGGTTAATCCTTCGCAGTATCTTTGAAACTCGTCTGAATGTTGATTGAAAACCAGAATATCATACGGAAACGAATATCGATGTGAAAGCAAACGAAATACCAATCGAAGACGCGTATCCAAAAATAACGAAAACGGAAGTGGTTTTAGAGCGTTCCAATGCTCACACGTAAACGGCTCGCTGTCCGAGCATTAATAAGGAGGAGATCGCGTAAAGACCTCGAAGACGGTTAAATTCGTCGGACGAGCACGGTACAGAGGCCTTGGCACGAAGTTGTACGTGACAATCGTAAAACCGATGTAGTCCCGCTTGTATAGCGTTAATAGCGTATGAACATTTCTGACTCACCTCACGAAGCTCCTTGATCTTTAGCCCTCCCTTGCCGATTATGCATCCAGCTTGGCTCTGATGGACCAACATGCGCACGTCGATCTCGTCGCTGCCGTGTCGGGATCCATTCTGAAACCATTTCCAAGATTAACTCTCCCATCCTGTTAAGTTACGGACGTGAAATTCTCTTTGAAAGCATTCTAACTGATACTATGTGCTTACTATGCAAGCATGAATTATGTCTGTTTTTTATCGCTTTCCTTTTTTTGTGTCTTCGTTTACTCGTTTCTTTGCTTGGAACGATATACTTTGTATATTTATAATGACAGGGACTTTTAACTTGTACTATAAAAATTATACTGTGCACACATTCGAGTACAATATAAGGATTTATGGTAATAGCTGTTTTTAAAATAGTTGGTAAATATTTATTTCACTGTACGTTTTCTACGCAACATTGAACCATTGTTTTCATCACTGATTGCTAATTAGATATACCGATCGTTTTTCTACGATGTGTACAGGGTGTTCCATGCAAGTGACAAAAAATTGAAAAACGTACTGTGGGGTAAGACATCATTGGTAAGACATTATCTACATTTTCTACAATCCTGTAAGCTGGAACAGTATACTAATTAGCACCCTCTATATCATCGTAACAATTAGAGGACAGTTTGTTGAAACAAAGTTAAGGTAGATACTGTCGATGGTTCGAAAATCGATCGATCAAGGTGCTAATAGTTATTGAACCAGCCTTCGTATGATCTAACTATACTGGATTAACAATCTACTAAAGTAAGAAAAACATGTGAAAAGTCTCACGATTGAGTCATTTCTTTTCCCGTGTGATCCTCTTCTGGTAGCAACACTCACCTCCTCGAGATTAGGTACGACCTCGTTCAATACTTGAAGAACGGTGGGCAGATCCGAGCTGATAGTAAGCACCCTAGAATCAAAAACACTCTAACAATTATTCCGATCCTCCGTACCGACCATTACGATATTACGTGCTACACACGTTTGTTCTTCCTCGTCGAATCGTGTCGGCGAAATTTCACCCCCTTCCGTAGAAAATTAGCCGCGGAAATGCGCGAGCTGTGCTCGAGGGAACTCGAACACGAACCGAAATCCCGGACCAATCAATTTTAGAAACCCTTCTCGTAGTCCAAAATGTATATATTTTCTTTCCTCCATTTCCATCTACTTTTCGAAATAATTTCGTTCTTCGCGTTATTGATCGCTTTATTTCGCTCCTAAATCTTCCTAATTTTGATTCTTCCGACCATAGAATTTCTTCAGTTTCATCCACGAGCGAAATTCGCGTGGCGCGTCTGCCGCCGTCTCATTCACAAACGATCGACTGCCTCTCGTCTCTTTTGAACGGACTGATTGACTAAACGAAATGTGGAGAGAGCCAGGACGGAAAATATCGCTTCGATAGCTACAAGAGAACTTGCCGGCGTTCCTTTCAAAACAAACACGGAACTTCTGAAACGTCGTCCAACACAAATCAATCTGGTCCTCTCCGTCTGTTCCCGCTTTCTTTCCGTTCGCTCTTTTTAATGATCTGCTATTGACATCGCGAGAAATTGCCAGGAGTCGCGTCTCGTTTCCCTTTTCGGTCTACGTCGCGAATGGAACGCGTTATTTTAACGATAAAACGCGCCAAGTTGCGCAGCAAAATTAACGATTCTCCCCGAAGCGGGAAACTTTATGAAACTCGTGATGATTTTCGAAAAGTTCTGATGTTTCTCATCCGACTGATATCGCTATCGATGTGGAGAAAACGAGACGGATTTTATTCATCTGCCATACGATTTCCAGCTATTTCATCGCGTTCCAGAGCAGAATAGCATCGTATTTTCCGATCATAGGCCAGCAGCTTTTCACGCTATGCCATTCGATCGATCGTCGAGGCTCGAATAACTTTGTGGAAGAACAAGAGGCTTGCCGAAAGTCGGAATTCCACGCGAGCACCGTTTCACGCGACTTAGTTCCTTCGCTTCGTGGAAGAAAATGTGTTTCGTTCGACACGATTCGATTAGTCGCGACACAATAATATATTCCAATTTCGAGATAGTGCTTGAGTGAAACTGGAATCTGCGTACGTATCGACTGAATCAATCGCTCGCGGGTTTGTTTTCTTAGAAAAATCGAAATCGACCGGATGGTGAGTAAATTCTCTGTCAGAACGGAAATTCGATTAACGTTCGACGTGAAGTTACTGAGATTAGAGATTTTAATGTTCGTTTAGAAGAAGCTCGAGGAAAGTCAAGGTTTTCTGTTATTCGACGAAAATGCAATATAAGCTCACTGTAAGTACGAGCGATGTTATAGTATCCGTTAGCGATCGACGACGCTAAATCACTAGTAACAGTCCTTTCGAGTCAAGAATTTACTGACCATCCTAGTATATAATGAAAAACAAACAGTAAAAAAAAAAAAGAAAAAGAAAAATAGACTCTTTGAACTCTATTTTAAAATTCTGTACGCTAAATATTATATCGTTCATTTGACATATTTTTCTACTGCTATTATTCTTTGTCAGTGCACTCTTTTCGATCCTTCTTCAACAAAACCGAAGCTTTCGAGACCGCTGTTCTATGCGTTAGGCATGTCGCAAGACCAAAAGCTACCAGCTTTCTCTTACGAATGGCGTTCTTTCGATGTTCTATCGCGTGATTATTTGTTAATGTTAACCATCGATTGGTAGGGTGGAGTTAGAACGAGCACAACTATATATACTTGTCGGAAGCTGAAATTTCTCCTATTTTTCTTATTTTAGTTGAAATGTGAATGCACGTTAATCTTCTTCAGACGAGCAAAATGAATTGAATCAAAACGACGTTTGCTTTTTTTTTTTTTTTTAATTCTTAGCGACGTACAATTTAATAAGAAATTAATCCAATGTTAGTACTAGTAGTCACACGCCCGATGAGAAAGGAAGTGAAACGATGCAGAATGAATCATGCGTGCAGGGCAAGTCGTACCTGAACGTCATCTAGACTTCGCAACCTAACAAAAAAAAAAAAAAAAAAAAAAAAAAAAAGGAAAAAAAAAAGAAATAAATTTCAGAAAAAATTAATCCAATGTTAGTACTAGTAGTCACACGCCCGATGAGAAAGGAAGTGAAACGATGCAGAATGAATCATGCGTGCAGGGCAAGTCGTACCTGAACGTCATCTAGACTTCGCAACCTAACAAAAAAAAAAAAAAAAAAAAAAAAAAAAAAGAAAAAAAAAGGAAAAGAAAAAGAAATACATTTCAGAAAGATCGAGAATACCTAAGAACATGAATTTATCTATCGATCTATCGCTTAATTTATCGAGAGAAAGACAAAGAGTGGAGAACTGTAGCATTAAGATTCATCGAAACTTTTCCTTTGTCGGTAGTTTCCATCGACAATCGAAGCACAGGTATACGCACGACTTGTCTCCATCGCGTGACTCGACTTGTATCGTACAGCTGGTATTTTTTTCTCTCTTTCCGTCGAATTGATCCCACCCTACCAATTATAGGAACAGAACTAACGTTCACCCTACTAGTCGAGGGTTAATCATGCGCTTTTCTCCTATATATAACAGGCGCCGTCTCGCGATCACCAGACACGAGATCGTTCGATACTATATAACACGGTCGCGAGGGTACGGTTTTGTTAGCCAGCGCCGTCTGAGACCGTGAAAACGGCCATCATCAGCTATTTCTCACCCTAGACGCGCTTTTCGCCCGTTTCTTTAACAATCACACACAATCGTCGATAGTTACGAACCGGAGAACCGTGTGCGTTCGTTTTGTTCGTTTCGACGAACATATCGGTCGAAAGTCATCGCCTCGAAAACGAAAGCTGATCGATGGATATCTCAGCTTCTCTATGAAACTAAAAGCTTCTCTAAGAACAAAAAAAAAAGAAAAAAAAAGAAAAAAATAGATAAACAAAAAGAGGAACTACATTTTGTCTGGCGAAAAAAAGCTTTGATCGCTAGATTTTGACCGTGAATAAGATCTATGTGCATCGATCGATGGATAGAGTGAAAAATTGTGTTAGCCGGTCTTTCCATTAAAACCTGTTACACCTACCGGACCAAAGGAAAAAAGAGAGTTGTCCCTTTCTTTCGGAACTGTTTGGGATCGAAATATATTCCTGTTTGATCAATCTGCAATGAACGCGTACAGGTGCGGACAGTCTAACTCTAGCTAATTGGGTCCAATTGAATTTCGGACTCGTATCTTTCATCTTGCGATCTTCCGAATCGTTTATGTTTATCAGACGAGACTCGAGAGTGGTAGAAATCGAATGCCATTCGATTAGTTTAAATACCGTTCGATTATCATTTGTATTATATCTCGCATAATCTTACGATAAATTTCTATGATAACGTTAACGATATCGTTGTTGAATTTTACGTTGATTATTTACCGGCCGTAGAGATACAATAAAATCAATTATGCAAGCGCCGTATGCATTCTAAAACGAGGAAGGTTTGGATTCGGTTAATAATTCCGCTGGTCTACGTGCCACGAGGCTGTCAATGTGCATTTTAAAGCGGCGTTAATATTCCTCGATCATAAATAATTAATGATTACTTGTCACTGTGGAAATTATGGATGCGATATTCGACTAGTAATCGTAGTTCGCGATAGCCGAGCTATGTTGAATTATGAACGAAAATAGGCTCTACTTTACATAAATCAGATACCAAAGTTGCTAAGAAATTACTACAAATTTCCGAAAGAATAAAGAAAAGAAAAAAAAAGAAAAAACTAAGAAAAGGAGGAAAACGTATGCCGATTTTTCGGTTAGATTGGTCGGCCTTTAAGTTAATATATTTATAAAAAATATTCGGATCGCGAATAGAAGAGCATTTAAATCAGTTTGAAGGATATTTACGAAGACGACTAAACGATAAAAATAATCTACAGCCGTAGCACGTGACGTCCTGGAACGAGAAAGAGACCAATAAACATCATTTCCACGAAACTGGCAGTATAAATCATAATTACTTGCAATTTCCAACGAAAAAAGATGACGTAACTACTTCATAACTACTTTAATCGATTCCTAAGACGCATAGATTTCGCATTTTAAAAGCGAACTTTGATTATAAACCTTGACCGAAGTCTAAAGTCTTTTAAAAACACATTCGATGTGTCTACCAATCTCGTAAATTGCCTCGTATTTCACACTCAATCGTATTAATAACGCTTGTTAAGTACGTTGGCTGCGAATGGAAAATAATCAGGTATAAGCCGCGTTCGTTAAATCCCATAAGCGTAAATCTCGCAGTATCTTGACCCATTCGTTGCTGACTCACGACAAAAATATATTTAGGATAAGAAAAAAATTCATCGATCTCTAATAAAATCTAGACGGCAGTCCCGCCGAACGATTTACACCTAAGGGAGCGCCTAAAGTGCTTTCGACGAGCACCCAAGTGTGTACCAAAGCGAGTCCAGCAACAAAAGGGTTGCGATCAAGGTCGAGACTAGACACGGGTCACAGCAGATCGGTAATGACTTTCGACTCGCGGACAATTCGTTAATCATGCCGGCAAATCTCTGCCAGGACGATGATGGTCAGTGGTGCGTTGATCAGTGGGACGTACCTAAAAAGTAAGCGTGACATATCGACGTTAAGCGTGGAATCGGCAGATTTACCGCCTCGTTCCACGGATTAGCATCCGTGTTAGCCACAAAAATTAGAGATAAAGAAAGGAGAGAAAGGAAAAGAGAGACGTTTTCCGCGCACGCGAGACGATCAAAAACGAACAAAACAGAGACAGACCAGAAAAAAAAACAGAACAAAAGACACAGAGAGAGAGAGAGAGAGAGAGAGAGGGAGAGAGAAAGAGAGAGACTGCACCAGAGACACAGAGATGACATTAGATTGGAGGAATAGGTGAAAGGTGAGAATAAGAAAGGTTTCGTACGCGTGTCGGGATGATTGCAAACCGACTGTGTTTCGTTGCTTCTTGGATAAAAGCAGAAAAACGATGCTGCGTGTCCTCGCGTCTCCTTCATTGGAGAACTTGTTCGTCGTCGTGACGAATCTTGCCTTGAATTCGCAGAAGCAGGACAAACTTTTAGCTAGAGAATCTGTTATTCCTCTAATACAGTTTGTACGTGCTAAGAACGCATTTGCTCTGGATGTTCTTCTATCGTTTGTACCGTCGCAACTCTCGGTAGCTAGGCGTCGCTCGTAGGTATCAATACAGAATTCCTAACGAGAACGAAGGAGAAGGAAGACGGACAGAAGCGGCAAGGCTAACAAAGAAGCAAGAAGCGCGAGGAGTACTGCTCCCTCCCCTCTCGATGGACCTTCAATTTACTCTGCTTGATCGCAACAACGAAAGCTTCGAAGGCTACCGTGGATGCAAAGACAGAAAGAGACAGACGTAGTAGAATTCAGGATACGAAGACAGAGGAGGAATATCTAAATGGGATGGAAAAGGACGGAGGACATGCAACCGCAGGTGATGGCAGGTGCAGTCACGAGAAACGTGTGCTCGGTTTATCGCGCGTGTTCCTCGTTCGAAAGCTCGCGCAGACTCGGCTCTTCGCTCGTGGGCGATGAATCATCGCGCAACGATGTCGGAGACGCTGGTCGAGGACACGTACAAGGCTGAGAGAGGAGCAGACAAGGAGACGAACGAAGAAGGAACGAGCGGATACAGGCGATTCGGACAAAAAGGCAGAGGCGAGAAAGAAGGGTAAAAGAGATACTGGTACGCTAAAGACTGTGTAGTAGAGAAACGTGGACAAAGAGTATTACAGAGAAAGAAGAAAGGAAAGAAAGAAGTAGAAAGTGATGGTGAAAAAAGACAGACAGACAGACAAGCAGAAAAGAAAAGAATCATCAACAGAGAGAACGTCGTTGTCGTTCGACTTTAAAAACAGCACAGCGATCCACGTGTCGCTGTCATTTAGGTATTTTTGTAATTAGAGACAAAGAAAAATAAGACATTAAGTAGTGGTGTTGGTCATTACCGTTCGGGTCCGGGGCAATCGGGTACAATGATTGAGGCTTTGTACTGTCGGGCCGTGGTGGTTGGTGGTTGGTTCATTGGTGGTTGGTTGGTGGTTGTTGTCGATTGTTGGTAGGGTGGTCCATTTGCCGATCGAGTCAGGGTCCGTCGTTCCGGGCAGGGCAACGGCAGGGCA